ATAATATACAATACTGGTACAATAAAATTAACAGAAATCAAACAATCATGCATCATCTACCCTTGATAAACAAAACTACTATCAACAATATCACCCATTAAATACCAACTCAAATACATCTCTAGTGTCTAAAAAATATCTTTACTTATTAATCATTGGAGTCTTAATTATCAAACTTGAATATTTCCGACTCAAAATAATAAATTAAAGTTGCTTGTTCTAATATTTTAAGGGGAGAAATTACTGTTTTGAAAATAAAATTAACCACCTATTTGATCATATTATGAGGGTTGTCACATAAGTTTTGAGAGAGACAAATAAAGTATTATTTTAGAAGAAGAAAATTTTGAAGAAAATCAAGACATATTAAAACTAAATTTAATTTTTAATTAATAGTGTATCTTTGAAGATACGTTGTCAAAAGAAATTATAAATAAATATATTTTTTAAAATTATGCCAGTCTGTGCAATGTATCTTATAAATATAAATAAATACATTCTTGCTTTATAACGTGTTGCGAACTGCCTACTGTAGGATCTCTAAAGGAAAGTTACCAACCGATAATTATGAAATGCTACTTAGGAAAAAATAAGTTTGGAGCCAATTTTAATGAGATATTATTTCGACAAGACGGACTCCAGCTCATTTAGATGAGACATTTCCCGAACGATGGATTATGGATTGGTAGATTAGGTAGTATTGAATGTCCTCCCCGTTCACCCGATTTGAATCCTAAGGATTATTATCGACGAATCCATATTAATTTCTAGAGAAACATGGAGAAATGTAATAGACGCATTCTGCCACCTTTTAATTTAGTTCCAAACTAATAACGGAGGACATTTTGAACATTGATTAGGGAGGGATTATTTTGCAGTCTATGTCTATTTAGCCAGACAATTAGTTGAATACGTAAAAACAATTAACTCCTACACTTCCTTTAAATTCATTTCTGACCATTCCTAACCATTCGTTCATTAACTCAATTTCCTACCCTTCCCATTGAAAACACTATTGGGTGACTATACAAAAAGGATTGAACAGGGACACACGCTTCACGCTAGCAAACCATGGTTAAAGGTAAATGAAACAAGAAGAAAGACAATGGGAAATACTACAACTAACGTCCTATCATTTGGGATTCACACAACACTGAAAAAGATAGATTAGATTTTCCGTTTGGTACGTTTGAAAAAGCCTATAAAACCGATCCAATACTTGGATTTCGACTACCTAAATAGATAATAGAAGCAACGTTTTACGGCAGTATAATTTTTTGTTGTAAGATGGCTTGAAATAAAAATTTTATGGTCGTCATAACTGCCATTACATTCAAATATATCAGTTTCGAAAGTTTTATTTTATATAGGTAATCTATTTAAATGCTACAGGTTTACTGTAGTATGTCCAAAAAGGCATCTAACGTACATAGTATAAATTTTCCGAGAGATGGAGTTTCTGTCATTTCTCTGTCATTGTTCTGCACTACTAAATCTTCGTGAACAATTGAAATAGATGAAGGAATTACTACAGCACGTTTATATTCATATAGTATGTCATAATTGGAGCCAAAGAATGGAATCCCTTCTCCATTGAATGAATGTTGTGATAAATTGGAAAAAGCAACAGTTAGAGTTGGATAGTATTTATTTGCCACCATTTGTTTGTTAGATTTTCAACAGAAAGACAAGATATTTTTTGTAATAAGCTGTTTTGATTATTAAATTGGCATTTAAGAATAATTTTTTCTGCCAAAAATAGACGTCTTAAATGTAAAGGTGGCTCGTTACATTCTGCCAATAGGGCTGGTGTGGGAGTGGATTTGAGAGATCCTAGGACCAACCTTAAAGAGGACCCAAAACGAGATTTTGTCGCTGATCCATAGAAAAAGCTTTCCAAAATTGATCTGGTATATGCTCTGTAAAATAATAAGTTTATTTTCAGGTCTGCTCCCCAATCGTATCGATTAACGGCTTTAAGGATATTAGGGCTTTTTTCACATTTGGTAATGCAATTATTAATATGCTTGTTCCTGGTTAATTTTGAATCCAAGGTTACACCTAGGTATGTAAATCTGTTATATACAGGAATTTCCAGCTGGGAGAAGTTTAACGTACTAACTTTTGGTAACCTGTTTCTCGAAAAACATACTACACCTGACTTCGTGAGATGTCAACCCATGACTATCAAAATGCTTTTTGCAATAAGACATATATACTTTAAGAACATTATTACATTGTTGAAAAGTTTTTTTCTCAATATAGAAACAGAAGTCATCAGCATATTGTAAAATGTTACACTGTTTTCCCCTAGTATTTAAGTTCAATGAATACCAGTTATATAGTAAGGGACTAAGAACTGAGGTCTGAGGTAACCCTTTGTTAACAATCCTTGGGCCAATCAGTGAATTGGTGTATACCTGTTTTTGTATAATTCGGACCATCTATTTAAGAGATAATAGGACATTTCGAGACTTTAAACCACTCTGTATATATAGTAGTATCCACACAATAAGTTTGTGCTTTATAGATATAGAATTCCTTAAATCTTTTGGTATTTGGAGCATAGCCTAAGTACTGCCATGAAATATACGCAAAAATATTGAGCAACAGAATCACCGAAAAAATTAACAGCACACTTGAGGAATTACAAAGCGGATTCAGAAAAGGCAGAAGCATCCATGATCATATATTTGCCATCAAACAAATAATAGAAAAATATCAGCAACAGGGAAAATATGTGGCATATATAGACCTTGAAAAGGCTTTTGACATGATACCAAGAAAAAAATTATGGAAAATATTAAAAAAGAGAGTAATTGATAACGAAATGATAAGAGTAATTAAGAACATTTACAACAGCAATATCAACTATGTCATCAATCAAAACAGAACATCAAAATCATTTACTACAATACAAACGAGGCTACGCGACCAGCAGGACGATTAAGTCCAACGCTATTTATAATATAAATGGACGAGACAATTAAGAAATGTAACGTAAAAGTCAAAAAGATGCATGTGGGTTATATAAATTTAAGAATAGACGTAGAGTAGACGTTTCGGAAGGATCATTCGCCGACGACGTAGTCATATTGGCCGAGAATGAGAAACAACTACAAAGAAATATAGAAATATGGAATGAATTACTGAAAAAAGTGTGGAATAACAATTAATAAAAATAGAACAAAAGTTATGGTGATAGGAGAAAATGGAGAAGAAAAGATAGATATAAAAATAAAAGTAAATATAGAACAAGCATGAACTTTCCAATACTTAGGAGTAGAATTAGAAGACAATGGAACAAAGGAAACATATATTAATAATATAATTAAAAAAACGATGAACCCATACTTTGCAATGAACAATAAATTCATAAACAAGACTAAAATTACAAGAAAAACAAACATTAATGTTGTGCCCTGATTTGAGTCGTGGGTTCTAACAGAACGACAAAAGAGTAAAATATATTCAGTAGAAATTAAATATCTGAGATGAGTTCGAGGAGTTACCAAAAGAGATAGGGTACACTGAAATAAGAGAATATTTGCAGAGTAAAAGAAATTTGGCAACCAAAAACGTAAAAAAGAAAGGTATACCACGACAAACATAGGATAGAACCCTAGGAAACACTACCGAAAAAGGGGAACAAGCAAGGACTCTAGCCAGAGATAAGAAGGAATATGTCAAGTTTATACATAATGTAAATATACAGTAGAATATAGTTAAGTTTACAAATAAGACTAAGTTTGATTTTTATTTGTATTTATCCATCTGTCGTACTACCTTGTTAACGGACTTTTAAAAGTCCGTTAAAATAATTAAAAATTAATAAAAAATATTTCCACCATATTCCAATTGTGCAAAGCATGTATCTGAATATAAATTGAACAACAGTGGGGACAGCACATAACCATGCCTAATTCCCTTTGAAATTGTCCACTTTACTGTTACAAGTTTTACAGCACCCACTTCGTTAACAGGTTTTTATAATCAATAAAAACGGCAAAGACATCTTTACGTTGATCTCGACATTTCTGTAGCAAACCAATCAATGCACAAAGTTTTCCTCTAATTGCCAAACCACCTCTTACACCAAACTGCGTTTCGTCTTGATTTTCTTCACACTTACTTCTTATTCTATTGTAAGTGATACGTAAGAATAACTTTAAGATCTGACTAATAAGACTTAACGTCTATAGATGCGACAGTGTTTCGGACGTTGTTTTTTTTTTGGTAAAGTTATATATAAACTATATAAAGAGTAACAAGCTTTAGCTGTACTAAAAGCTAAAGCAGAAGCGTATACAAATTTATACGTCTATTCAATATGTAATAATCTATCAGAAACACAATCTATCAAAAATACAATAAAATTGAAGGGTAAATTCTATAGGATATCTTTAAAATCTGCTAGGATGTACGACACTAAATATTGGTACCAATAAATTCCAAAGTGAGATATTATGGGTTAAGACGGTTCGTGTTTCAATGCAGAGATAATCATCACCATTAGGAAGACTCGCTGATTGTCATGTTCTCCGAAGAAATATGAGAGGAAAAACAAAGCAGAGCGGGAGACATGTATGTGAAGTTTATTTAATTTATTTTCTCAAGCAATAGATATAAAGGAAATTATTTATGATTAATTTAAAATATTAACTAAGTACATATTAGGAGTTTGAATATTTGTTCATAGCAAGATATTAACAATGCGTGAATGACTATAATTACTAGTATTTATATGCACCATTTATTACTCAATATTTCCAAATGAAATAACATTGAATAATGATAAAAAATATTTGTTACTTTGGATATGTAAAATTAATGTTTTTAACTACGAAATTTAAAGAAATTAAACATCGACACTAGAGACATCTACAGATAAAATCTCAACATATACCTTGTGGTTGTTGGTCTTGGTGCGGTAAAAAAAGTGATAGTGATTGAAAAAATTCAATCTTTTAGGCCACCACTAACCACAAAATCAAACTTACCTGAATTAGATGATGTATTACCTCCTCTACTGTTACGTGTGTTCCTGATCCTTCTCAAAGACCCTTGTCTACGCCGCCGGTGAGGCCGGTTATTATTTGCACCGGGAGTTTTCTTCCACAAATAGTAGAATTCCACCAGTTCCGGCTAAAACAATAATATTTCAAGAACTATTGCCTACGGAAACAAAAAAATCTAATGAGGAGAAAGGTCAAAATTTGAAGATTTCAAAATGATCTAACTACTCACATAGATCAAAATCGAGTATTAAAAGTCTAACCAACTAAAGAAGAAGAACAGAACAAAGTCAAAATCTTGAATGGCTTTGGTAATTTAAAATTTGAATTAAACGTCAGAGCACATTACAATTTACAAAGAATTTTATTTAAAGGTTTACTTAATAACTCGAAAATTTTCGTAAAATACCATAACGAAGCTTGTATACCTTGACCCTTAATTGGAGAGGTCTTAAAAGAAATACGAAGGTTGCCTTTTCAGTTTTGCATGTAGCCATAAGGACAAAAGATATATAGATTTAAAATACTTTATTGCTTTTAAAAATGTCCCTCCAAGATCCATATACTTTTGCATAATTTTAAGCCAATTGGTAAGGTAGTTATTCCAGTCTTCAGCGGCCACCTGCAAAATCGCTGTTTTAAAGGCCTTCTGGCGACTGGAATCGTTGCCCACACATTGAATTCTTGATATTTGGAAAGGTGAAGAAGTCGTTGGGACTTAGGTCGGGGCTATACGGTGGATGGTTTATCAATTCAATATTTTCAAGCTCCAAAAACTCTGGACTCTGGTGGTATTTTGGGCAGTGTGAGCACTTGCATTTGTCCTGATGTAGGATGATTCGAAGTTGGGTGTTGCTTTGTCGGAGTTTCGCGATAATTTGATTAGATTACTCAACCTTTTCTCTTCTTAACTGATGTGGCCTGCAAATTACCATATTAGTTATACTATTTCCCTCCCTACATCAATTTCGTTTCCTCTCGAATCCATTTATTTATTTATCCTTAAGCTTTCTATTTTGTTATTGGTTATGTCATTTCAAAGTTGACATGCATAATCTAGATCTTATAGGCCAATAGTCCCTAGTGAAACACATTTTGAGGGTGGTTTTATTACCCTAGGAATATCAGACTGCTTTTGTGTATTTCATGTTATATGTTTGTGTAAAGATTTTCATCACAATCATAACCAATCATTGTGGCTTAATCCCAAAAAAACATAATATTTAACTATGCTATTATTTTGTTTTCATTATTTTATTAAAGTTTAGTTTTAACAATTAGATATTAACTTAGTCAATATACTCAATATGTACTTATTATTCCTCTAACAACTCCGCCATTGGCTCAGGAAAATATATTTGTTACCCAATGTCAAAATCATTTAAAAAATATATACTTCAATCATTTTTTCTGAAAAAATTGGCTTAACCCTTTAATCGGTAATCCCGCCATAAGATCGGCATTAAAATAACCGAATTATTTTAAAATGTAAAATTTATTTGCTCTCACATCGACTACACCGCTTTTGGGCAAGAATAGAGTCGACCAACGGTAACGGTTAAAAAGTTGTAGGTTCAGTTACTTGAGAGATATAGCCAGTTACGTAGAAACAAGCACACACACACAATCACGCGAGGCGATCAACCCTACCCCTAGGGACATGTGTATACCACTGTAGGAGTGGGATCCACATGTCCGAAAATCAAACCGGTTACACCTCACTTGTTGAGGTGGTACCTATCTGACCCCCAGGCTTTTCCTCCACCCCTCCTCAGCGTGTGACTTACGTGAGGAGGCTTATGATCTGAATGTTACGTAAGGTGTCTTGGGTAATGAGACACCTTCTGTTTTTAATGACTGTGGTTAGGCCACCTAACTGTAGGGGTAGCACACATGTCGGCTTTTCTCCCTATTTAACTTTACTGACTCTATAGAAGTTACTCTAGCTTTACTTCGGGACTCATGTCCCTAAAAAAGAGCGTGTGTTCCAGACAGAGAGCCATCGGTCTAGACCGACAGCTCTCTGTCTGGAAAAGAATGTGTGTGCTCGTTCACTCAGTCGCCGATTTGACAAAATAAAAATTTTGTTCTCCTCGCCGGCTGGGTGTTCGAGAAGTGAGTCCTGGCCACCGAGCCAATGCTTGCCGCACATGACCTCGATGCTCAGAGTCCGCGTTTGATCAATATTTGATCTGCCTGAAGGGCCTGTGCCTGCTAGCTGGTATAGAGTGCCTGACGGGCCTTTTATACATTCTTATTTGTGTTATGTAAATTTTTGTGATGTAACGGGTGTTCTTGTTTATCTTGAAGATGACATGACATTAATTAGACAGTGAGTGATTTTTGTTTTTTTAAAAACTAAGTCTATCTATGCTAATACCTTAACTATGGAGTGTGCATTCCCAAGTGTATAACGCTCTCACACACTCCGTGTATATGTTTTTTGTGTTTTTTGTTTTCCCTATTCTAATCTAAACTAAGTGTGCGTGTGGTGGGGTGTGCACAGGCTACCAAAAACACAGCCAAGGAAGAAAATTCTATAGCTGCAACAGAAGCAGCAGCGTTAATTGCGAGTTTTAACTCCGATTTTAGCGCAAAAATGGCGCATAGCACACCAGTCGGAGGATCTTCGCATTGGGTCTTGGAACTCAGGTGGATTGTTCACAAAATTAAATCTTCTTGACGAATTTGCAAATAGACTAGAATAAGATATCATAGCACTTCAAGAAACCAAATTAGTGGAAAGAAAGAAGACCAAATTCCCAGGCTATGATATCTACAGGACAGATCACCGAGCAAACTCGGGAGGAACAGCCATTATGGTCAAAAAAGGAACAGAACATCAAAATATACCAACTCCAGGCGGCTTAGTCACCATGGAAGCCACGATAGTTCGTCTTATCGCTGGAAACGAGACACTAAAAATCGTCTCAGCATATGTAAGACCTAATGAGCCTATCCTTGATGAAGATCTGAATCTCATCCTGGACTCAGAAGAACCAACAATCATCATTGGAGACCTTAATGCAAGATCACCCAATTGGTACGACAGGAGAACCAATGGTAATGGAAGACGGCTCTGTGGCTATCTCGAAACAAAAAACAACACTTATGTGGTAGGACCAGTAAATCCAACTGGCTACAACGGAGTAGCTGAACCAACTCACCTCGACATTGCAATCCTACACAACGTGGGTCAACAATATGAAATACATTCATTAAATGAAGGCAATTCAACACATAATTTAATCGTACTGACCCTGGGAGCTATAGATATAAATCAACTAGAGCCCCGAAAAAAGAAAATAACCAGCTGGCCAAATTATAGAAGAATCGTGAGCGAGAACATAGGTGTGATACCCACTATTAATAACATAATGGAGCTGGAAAATAGTGTGGAAAAATTAGAACAAGTCATAATCCATGCCATCGATGCCAGCTCAAAAGAAGAACCAATTATTACGAAACAAGGAAGATTCAAAGATATCAGCCCAGAATTAAGAGAATTAATTCGAGAAAAAAACAGGAAAAGAAGAAGAGATTACAGAACAAGGACACAAGAAGACAAAAGGATTGCAAACGAGCTAAACAGAGAAGTGAAAAGGCAACTACAAGCCCACAACAGTGAAAGCTGGGAATCCTATATCCAGGAGTTAAATCCAAATAAATCCGGCTTCTGGAAGCTATCCAAAGTGTTAAGAAAAGACAAGAAACCCATCCCACCACTACACGGAGAAAACGGAATTGTCTACACTGAACAAGACAAAGCAGAAGTCCTTAAAGATGAATTTGAAAAAGCATGCAGGAACAACGAACATCCACACGAATACATTGACTTCACTATACAAGTCGAAAACACAGTCAGGAGGCTAAAAAGAAGAAAGGGCAGAATCGGAATAACACATACATCTCCCGAAGAAGTCAAAAATGTAATAAAAGCGACAAATGCTAAAAAATCTCCAGGACCGGACAACATTGGTAACAGAGCACTCAAGAACCTACCAACAAAGAGAGTAGTATACATCACAAACATCATTAATAGTATACTAAAATTAAGATACTTCCCGGACAGATGGAAGCTCATGTTATGATGATAGGAAAGCCAGGAAAGGACGGCACTTTTCCACAAAACTACAGACCTATTAGCTTACTATCATCAGTAAGCAAAATAGCGGAAAGAGTCATATTACATAGACTAAACGAAGAACCGCTAGCTTTGGGATCTATTCCAGAAGCTCAGTTCGGTTTTAGGACCGAACATTCATGTGAACTACAAGTTTTGAGGCTGACAGAATATATCAATAAAGGTTTCAACGAAAAGATGTACACAGCAACGGCGTTCCTCGACGTGAGTAAGGCTTTTGATAGGGTATGGCATCAAGGTCTGCTCTATAAAATGAGCAACCTAGGCTATAGTGAAGCGATGACATGTCTTCTTGCGTCATACCTAGCTAACAGAAGGTTCAGAGTTCGAATAGGTTCAACCCTATCTGAATTAGGGACCGTGGAAGCAGGTGTGCCCCAGGGAGCGGTGTTATCGCCTTATCTGTACACTATCTATACAGCTGACACTCCGACAGACCCGAGAACTATGGTTAGCCTATATGCGGACGATACAGCCATAGCAGCTAGCAGTAGAGATCCAAACCTAGCTGCCAGCCACCTACAAAGCGCTCTGAATAGATTCCAAAGATGGTGCATAAAATGGAAAATTGCACTAAATCCTGACAAGACACAGGCCGTTATGTACAGACACAGAATAAGGAGACCAGACAGGGAAATCACTATAGGAAACACCCCTGTAGAATGGACGAACGAGGCCAAATACCTCGGAGTCATTTTAGACAGAAAGCTCACTTTCACGGAACACGTAAAACAAACTGTCTACAAAGCAAAAGCACTACGAAGTCAACTCTCTTCGCTAATCGGCAGAAAGAGCAAACTTCGCTTTAAGACAAAAATGAGGGTAGCTAATAGTATAATACTACCCTCCCTAACATATGCATCTGCCGCATGGGGACACACATGTCAAACGAATAGGAAGAAAATCCAATCAACACAAAACTGGATAATCAGAGAAGCACTGAACCTACCTCAATACGTAGAAACAAGTAAGTGAATCGTACATACAAATTATTGCTCTGGAACACGTGGAATCGAACCGTAAAATAAAATAGTTCTAGTTGTCCAATTGATTTTATATATATATTTTTTGGTAAGTACTTATAGTATTTGTTTGATAGTTTGCTAGCGTGTTTGATGAGAAATGCAAAATTAGTGCTACTTTTTGAGTGTTGAGTGATACCCGCCTTTTGGCCGGCTTGTCGGTGTACGGTAAAAATAATTCCTTCGCGTATTTGAATAAAACTACATATTTGTATTATTTATCCATTTTTTTTCTATCGTAGACCATGGAAAAGAATAGATCTCAAACACGAAGAAAGTATGGTGCGAAAAGGTATCACGAGCTGACAGAAGCGAAAAAAAAAAAAGAACAAAATACGATCTTTCCACATTAACCGATGAACAAATCGACGAGATCTTGAACTCTAATCTTGCTTCAGATGACGAGTCAGTTTACAAAGATAATGATGATAGCATAGCCGATCCGGATTATGACTACAAGGTGGATGTGCTCACAGCCGAGAACGATGAGATGATTGCTCCTTGTTTACGTGAAAATATCATTGATTTGGATCTCTCCATGAACCTTTCGTTGGAACTAAGTAATCTCACTAATGTTAGTGAATGTTTAGTGGGTGTTTCAGAACCACATGTAAATATATCTACTTCTGAAATAGCAACATTAACTTTTCCGGAACTTATAACACCAGAAACTACAACACCAGAAGTTTCAACAACTGATCCGGATACTCAAATAGACGTTTCAGTATCTCCCGTACCGTTAATATCAAAAGAACTAATTGCATCAGCTTCCACACAACTAGCAACAACCACTAAGTTCAAACCAAAGAAAAGACCCAGATCCCCGTTACCAACTGTAGAAGCTACGGGACCGCAAATAGTACCATCAGCGGGTGGCTTTACTGGCACAGGTATGCTAATAAAACACGGAAAGTCATAATTCAATACTAATTTTTTTTCTTTCTGTTTTCAGGCTTGGATGCGATCGACAAAAATTCAGCCTGAGTTTACGAAAATTGTATGGCGAAAAAAGTCAATGCAATTGCATGTCAATGAAGTCGCATTTCGAGGAAACACTATATTGCCCTATACTGTAAAAAAGCTGAAGACACCAATGGAGTATTTTTGTTATTTTTTTACGGATGAACCTCATCGACCTGGTTGTTTGTAAAACCAATCGGAACGCACGTTTGAAAGACATAAATACACAATTCAACGTTGATGCAGTGCAGATTCGACGAAACGTCGGAATTCTATTGTACGTGTCAATTTTTCGTTATCCCAATATGGAGTCACACTGGGAAGAATTCGGATTTAGGCAAATTCCTCAGTGTATGCCACTGAAGAAATTTGAGCGGATAAAAAAATATGTTTGTTTTGCTAATGAAGCAGAACGTATCCAAAAAGGACAACCTGAATATGATTCGCTTTTTCGAATCAGGAAAGTTGTTATTATTTTAAATGCACGCTTCAATTCCGTTCCAAAGAATGCGCGGTTATGTGTTGACGAGCAAATGTGTTCGACAAAAATGGCGCACCGTTTACGCCAGTACATGCCGAACAAACCCCATAAATGGGGAATTAAGTTGTTTGTACTGTGCGATACCACAGGATATTCGTACCAATTTTAGATATATAATGGTGCTGGAGATAACATCATCGTGCCAGGAACACCAGATCTCGGAGCTACCAGCAACGTTGTTATTCGGTTGTCACAAACAATTCTAAATTTCAAAAACCATATTGTATATTGTGACAGTTTTTACACATCCTTGCCTCTTCTAGTTTATTTACGAGCTCGTGGAATTTTTGGGTTTGGGACAATACGTGCAAATCGAATTCCCAATTGTAAACTTCCGCTTGATACAGATAGAGAAATCAAAGACGCGGAACGAGGTTATGCAGTGGAGTATATGGGTTGTGCATATGGTGTGGGTCTTACCACGACACCAAGAACGTAAAACTTTGTTCAAGTTACGTTGGGGTCAAACCCTTTCGGAAATTGAATTCAGACAAACATATAGCAAAAACGACTCGTTACGACAAAGAAAAAGAAGAAAGAATACATTAATGTTGACTACCCCCAAATAATTCGTGAGTACAATTCGCATATGGATGAAGTTGACCTCATGGACTCTCATATGGGACGAAGGTCTGTGCTCTTAAGACTCATTGTTCGACCTTTAAACTCACCGCTCCCTACTAATATTACTAATGCTTGTAGAAAGGCGGCACATCCTGTTGAAGACGTACGGTGCGATGGAGTAGATCATGTTCCTAAATGGATTCCAGGCCGTAAAAAGTCCTGCAAATACTGCAAGAAATCGGAGACACACACTTTCTGCCCGAAATGTCAACTGCATTTATGTTATTCCGGTGCCAAAAATTGTTGGAAAGACTACCACGTCCGTCGTTAATGTGTATTCCATTTATTACTTATTATCTATTAATTTTTTTACAAAGTTTATATCAATAAAAATTTAAATGTTTTTATAAGCAACAAAAAAGCACTAGTTCATTTTTCCCTGTAGAATGATATACCGGCCATATTGGCGGCATTCTTTCATTTCACTTTGTGGCTAGCTCAATAAAGATATCGAGAAATTGACTTTTCATTCGTATTTCGCGTACCAAAATTACCCCGAAACCAAAATTTTCAGAAAGTTGAACCCCCGATTTCTATTTTGCCGATTAAAGGGTTAAGGAACGACACAGCCTGATGATTAAAATATCACTGATAAATTTTTCATAAAACATAATAGGATATAAGTAGAAAACACCAACAAAAATGTGTCCCCAATATTATTTCTAAAACTTACCGTATCTCTATGAGGTAAAAGATCTTTTCTTATCCTAAAAAAGTTTTTGCCAAATTGTCGAAGACCCTTAACGAATCGTTTCGTTTCTTCTTCACTCCATTTTTTGTCGATACCTTTAGGTACTGGACATTTTACCAGAGCCTGCAACGCTTTACCTGGATCATATCCAGAATCGTGCAGCTGAAAAGACGCTACTATTAATAATACGTAAAAAACAATAATAAACGTTTTAAAAATAATTTTTTAACGTTTTAAACGTGCGTTTAGGTAACTTTCTTTATCACTAATAAAGGAATATATCCAATTTTGTCGAAATATGTATATCAATTCATAAAGAATTCAATTATGTGCAGAATATCAAATTTTTTATCATAGAGCTCGTGATGCCTTCATTATTTTCTTATTACGTTGGAATTATTATGGTTCAACAGTTTTATAATATAAAAGACTATAAATGAGACTAAAGATAATGAGGAAATCATTTAGAGATGTCATATCTATGTTGCGTTTAATTACTCGCTTAGGTATGCTACAAACGATTTTTAAATCCAATAAATGGTCATGATTTGTATTATTTAGCACAACAATTTCCATTTTTAATATCCCAACTTAATTTGGGAAACAACAGTAAAAATTTAGTGTACGTACCACATCCAAAGCATTAATAGTAGTATCATCTCTCGACGCAGCATTGGCTCCATCTTCAGGGCAGCCTCCATCACACATGCCAGCAAATGCAGCCATGGACCTAGCAGCTCGTAAGTACATGAGCAGATCAGCATCGAGAGTCATGGCGGGCACCCATCGCTGCTCTTCCCGAACTCTGGTTTGTTCTGGGTCCGGAGAAAGTTGTTCAGGTGGAACACCCGGTCGGTATTCTGGTAGGAGAGCCTAGAGTTGCCGGGAGTGTTAGAATCAATCATAAAATGAACCATTGAAGTCTGCTAAGGTTTGGTACACTTTTCGGTCGTAATAAAAGACAAAAAACGTTAACGCCAAACAAAAACTTACTAATAACTGAACGTTCCGCCTACTGAATTTTTGTTAATAATTAGGTAACACTCAAAATACTTCCAATCTTTTCCATGTTTTCTTTTACACCTATTAATTACACTGTATCACTGAGTATCACAGTAGTTTTGGTATCAGCTTGTGTCCTAATTGACACAATGTACTTAATTACCATAATCGCACATGACACAGTGATAATAAAGGTAAGTAAAAGGGTAGATCAGCCACGCAAAAACCATAAAATACATGAGAGAAAAGAACTGGATACATCAAGAAACAAAAGATCCAATTAAATTAACTCTGGTAAGGAGAAATAAAGTAACATCACTAATGAATCAGAAATGAAATAAAATACATGTCTTATACAAAAAAAAAACTTTGAAAAACGCATCTTAGAAAAAGAACAAAATTAAAACGTACAAAATAGTACTGACCATGTCAGTATATCAGTCATTAAGATATATTAGGCATAATAATCCAGCCTAGGTAATCTACTAAATCTATGTTATAAAGATGTGCCTGCAGGAACTATCACGAGAAACTGCATGGACAAATTTATTTAAATGATAGGACAAATGCTTTATTATAGCCAGGCATCAATAAAGGCAATGGAATCGAATCCGATTAACTCGAAATTAGTTTGGAATTGTCTTCAGAATCTGATTCGGATCAGAAAAAGTAATTTTACTCTGGGTGTCTGGACATACTGGTCTTGAGAGGAACGAAAAAACAGATCAACTTGCCAGGGGAAGGACAAAAGAAAGATTCGTAGGCCCAGAAACTGTCGTTGGCATAGCAAGAATCAGAACTAATAGAACAATATCAGACTGGATGAAACGGATGAAAAGTAACCACTGGTACGAACAAATGGGTCTTAAACATTCGAAAGCTTTTATACACGAACACTCGAAGGAGAGATGCAAAGATCTACTAGATATAAATAGGAGTGATCTGCGTATTATCGTATATATCGACAGGATACTGTCGTCACAAGGTGCATATCAACAAAATCGGACTGGTAGAAAGTACGAATTGCAGATTCTGCCAACATGTTCTGTGCAACTGCCCAGGGCTGAATGGGATAAGGCTCAATTTGACCCCTACAACTTTGTAGAAGTTTCACCTAAGGCCATAATAGACTTTGTTAAAAATACTGGGCTGAAGGGACAACTATAAGCTAGGGATGAGCCACCAAAGACCTCTTAGATCGAGTGGAAGGGTGATTAAGTTCCCACTTATACTGAGCCTAACCTATCATATTTGAATATCGATATAAATGCATAAATTTCCTTGAAATTATTTATACACCGACATATTTCCTTTTCAAATGTGCATACTACCTCAGAATTTGTTATCAACAAAATTTATTAATAACAATATTAACTTTTATTAAACAGATTATTTATGTATTGCAAGTATTTATACAAGGATTACTGAAATGCCTCCAATAAATACTAAACAATTTTTAAAATTTCAAAACCTGGTATAACTACTATAAAAGACAAGGTTGCATTTTAATTAGACTTATTCATTGTATTATGATTTATATAAATATATAGTGTGGTCTTCAATCAAGTCAGAAACACAAAAATAAGCGGATTGAAAAATGGTTCTCGTGAACTTTAATGAATATCGAACTAATGCGGGGTACCCATCCGTTCACTTCCGATTAAACGCCAAATACTTCCCTTTTATTCCCGTCCCATCACACAATAAACTATCAGGTCATTGCTCGATGTCTGCAGAAGCAAATGGTGAATTTAAAACGTGTTTTAAACTTGTAAAAGTGTATCGGAACTCCAATAGGAAATATACGATATGTTGACGATACGGTCCAGCACAATTATATGATCTGCAGCATATATTACATACGATTGACGCCACTAGTAAACGTTTTTTTGCTTAAGATCAACGTTACTAAGACTAAATTTATGGCAATTGATCGGCAGACGATAATCAGTCGATGGAAAAACTTATCACGATTTATATATCTGGGCACCACGGTCAACGAAAAATGGGATTGCCGCGAAGAAGTGAAACTAAGAATCATTTACGCAAGAACAACATTTGTCAAACTTAAAAATTTCCATCAGCTCGCACTCTCACTTATCCTTTGGCTAAATCTTGTAAAGTGCTACATATGGCCCATTTTACTTTATGGTGAAGAGACGTGGCCTCTTAAGGTTAGCTGAATCTCATTCAAGCAATTGAAATGTGGCCTTTATGAAGACTTTTCCGAGTGTTATATCCTAGAAAGAAAGAATTCCTACCTTGGCCATATCCTTAGGGAAAGCTAATACTATGATCCCAAACTAATCTTTTAAGTTAAGAAAGTTTATAAACACTACGTATATTTTAGGAGACTTTATTGCAGACATTGGAGCAGGTATCGTTGAAAATATAGTTAGACAGTTCGGATTAGTAACTCGAAACGAAAGAGGAGAAAGGCCCATAGAATTCGGCGAAGAAAATAGTAGTTGCCAATGTTTGGTTTCAGCTTTCTAAGAGAAGACTATATACATGGACATCTCCTTCACATACAGAAAACAGATTTTATACTCTTAAACAGCAGATATAAAAACTCATATAACCTCAGTTAAAACTTATTTTGGAACAGATTTTAATCCAAACCACAATCCGTTAGTTGCTGTCGTGAAAATAAAATTAAAAAGAATTAAGCTCAGAGGACAAGAACCAAAAATTAATAATAGAATGCTAAAAAATGAAGAAATAAAAACGAATTAAAAAAACTTGTGAATGTTAATATGCAATAAACACTAAACTGACAACAAGAAAATTATGGATGTAAATAAAAAGTGGAATAATATAAAAAAACATTGCTGAAACCAGCTTAAGAAAGTTTGACACAACATTGGTCAGAGGCTAAATATAAAAGGACAAAACAAAAAGAAAACTTTGAAATTGTGTTATTTTGATTCCACATTTTGCTGGATCCGCGCTGGATTCAGGCCAATCTTGCAAAAATCCAGCTGGACTGAAAATTCTGCTGGATTGCAATCCCTAGTCGGGATGTAAACGTTAGCCTACACTTTTGCTTTGTTGACTATGAAAAGGCTTTCGATAGAGTAAGACATAAAAAAACTAATATCAATACTTATGTCAGTACAGTGATAGTAAAATCATAAAAATAATCCAAACATTATATTGGAACCAAAGTGCCATAGTTCAAATTGATGGGCAACAGTCAGAAGGGAGGAAGATCTGTAGAGAGTTAGACAGGGATTGAAATTATCAAAAATACGCTCAATAATATCAAAGTGGGAGTAATCATTCACGGAAAATTAATTACCAGTTTACGGGATGCAGATGACCATGTGATCATTGCAACGAGTATAGAATATCTATATCTTATCGAAAGCTTAAATATGACTAGTGCCGAGAGCTAAAAAAAAAACGAAATATAATTACAATACCACAAAATATGCACCACATTTTGATAATTAATGGTAACGTGATAGAACAAGTAGAAAAATATCAATAGTTGGGAATTTTGATCAATTAAATAAATGATCATACTGCAGAAATAAACGGGCGAATAGAGACTGCCAGATCAGCATTTATACGAATGAAACCACTCCTAACTTGAAGAAATCCTAATTTGTTAATTTGAACAGTTATATGGCGTATTCACTATAAAAGAAAGTCTCATTATTCTAATCAACACCAGGTTTTCCGATGAGTAGTCACAAGGACTGGTTTATCTACTATTTTAAAGATAAATTTTCCCAGATAAAATTAAAACATATTTTTTTTTTCAAGTAAGATTTTCATTGAAGGTACTAACAACAAAGTTGTTAGAAAAATCACAGAAATTAATAAAATCAATATAATATATGAGTCTGATTCTGAAAAACAAGTAGATGATAGGGATAGCGTGGGTATTATTAGCAACGATGAGGATGAAGAAACTTTAAACGCTAGGGTAAAACGGCTTTTTATTACTGAAAATATAACTATAACACAATTCTATAAGTAACATCTAAAGAGTCTCTACCCTAGGTAAATTGGTTTGCCATATTTTTTCTTCCAAGAACGGCAATAATCCTATGTCTAGATCTTCCATTCTAAACCGACTAAATGCTATTTGACGTTTTATACACCAAGCTCTGATTATTGATATGGCCACCTTTGTATGCAATTGAATATCTTGTAGAGTCGTTTGATGGCTGCACTTTTTTCAGAAATGCTACCTTTACCAGTATTTCGGTAATCTGCTGATATTAAATTATGGTAAAAAGATATTACTACTTCTGAAATAAAGCATAGTGTAGCCCTCACTTGATTGTTACTGTCAAACATAAGGGATACCTAACTTACAGTATAACCAAACTAAAAGAAAAATACGGAAGTAATGGAATTTATTCTCTATAATTAATACATCCAATGTTGTTTCATGCTGTATGTGAATATTTTTTAATGTTTAATTAAAATATGGTGCTTGAGTTCCATAATTAAATACCTTAATAAAAAAAGTGTACCGCACCTTGACCAGTTAATTTTAATGATATGACTAATCTACCTGAACTTAATAGTCTGAGATTTAACTGCACAAAATAATCAAAAAAATTGTTTCATATAAGTAATGAAAGAAAAAAATTGACTAATCTGTTTATCAAAAGTGTATTAGCAGAAACTTTTCATAACTTTACTTTATGTGTATAAAATATGTTGTTTTAAATATTATTATTAAAACTGCTAAATATAATAAATCATCATAAAAGAGTGGCTGGCATTATGTATCCACTGTAATATCTCGTTTGGTCATCTCTCATATGGCAGTCTGCTTGAGTTACCAAACCATGTTGTTTTTTTGGACTTCTGGGATCTTTTTGTTTTGCTCAATTTTTGTTTTATCTCAC